ATAGTCCTGCACATGAACTCTCCTGGGGAGGCCCTCTGCTCCTGCGGGGCTCAAGGAGGAACATCCTGCACGTGATACCTGTCTGTACTCGGTGCTCAGAGCCTCAGGCCGAGGGAGGCGCCGACGCGCTCCGTTCTTGCCTCTGTCTGCCGGTCTTTTTCTTTCTTTATTTCTTCTTTTTTTTTGTATCTGCCGGTCTTTTTCTTTCTTTATTTCTTCTTTTTTTTGTATCTACCGGTCTTTATTGTTATTATTATTATTATTATTATTATTATTATTACTACTATTATTATTTTCTTCTTCATTTTATGCGATTCAGGGAGATGATGCGGAGTTTGTAGAACGAATAGGAATGAATAAATAAGGAATCTTATTTCTCCTCCCTTTTAGAAGCTGTTCAGTGTGTTCAGTCGTTGTTGAGTGTCCATCGGTCAAATGTCAAAATCGTCATTACAGTAACTTTAACCCATATTCACAAGATTTATGAAGAAAATAGATATAATGATAGGTAGATAGATAGATGGTAACATAACTTGATTTTTACACAAAAAGATGAATTAGATCATGGCAGTTGCCAAGTATATATAAAATTATATTTTCACTCCGAATTCAACAAATATTTCCTTCGGAAACAAATATCGGAATAAACTGGTGACAAGACCGAAATCAATACAAAAAGTGCACTCCGAGTAACATTCAGAAAGGCCCTTATTTGATTTGTTTAGAGCTCGCTAGCGAAATGTTTCCTTTTTATAGGACAAGTTTCTGACTAGATCGACCGAGTAGTGGCAAGCCTTTTTTTCCTTTGACAGAACTTATTTTCCTCACCAGCTTAAGAAAATAGTGTAATTCTAGCGGTGTAAAGTAAACCGTCGTTGCCTGCTCGGCGCCCCCGTTGCTGTAACTAATCCCCAGAAGCTAGTATGTGCCAGAGTTAAGTCGTGGAAATTTATCTCCCACGTTAAGAGTGTTCCACCCCACTTTCTCCCCGGCCGCTGGGTTTAAAGCTGGGGTGAGAGCATACGGCGTTGCAGGTATCACGTTTTCCACCTTGGGTAGAGGAGATCTTCCCCTGAGGGTAGATGTAGATATGTACTCGGGTTTATGTAGACTTGTGCTGCCACACCCACACCCACCCACCACTAGACCAACAGAGAGAAGGATTAAGGTCCTAAACACACACACATGTCAAAACTCGCATATAAAAAAAGGCTTCAAAAAAAAAAAAAAAACAAGAGAAAAAAAAAAGAGAAGTGACTTCCATCCGAAGAGACTAAAAATCATTCTCTCACTCTAGGGTATAACCTGATATAAATCCCTACTAAACTTTAAGATTAGTTGCCTATAGCATACCCTCTCACACCCACTTTCTCTGATAATAGCTTTCTAACTTTCAATTTGCTATATCATAACTGTTCCATCTGCCTCTCTACTCACTGCTCTAGTATTCCCTCCTCTGAACACCTGTTCTCTAACACTTGTCCGGCTGCCAATGAGCCAAATTTCCCTCTTCCTTTTTTGTGAAATTCTGTCATTATATACTAAGATGCCTGCTCATTGTTAAGTGCATTTCAGAACTATAAGGGACTGCATTGGATTCAGAGTATGCCGCCAGTCCTCTTGTGTTTACTAGTCTATTTCTATATATATACATATATTTCTGTCTTTGTTGTTTTAAAACATTTTCACTTCAAAAAAAAAGAAGACAGCAAACCACTGTCGTTAGAAGCATTTCTAAAATCCGACTAGCCATTGATTTTTCATTTGTGCGTCTGTCATGGTAGAAGCTTCATCTGTAGTGTAACAACAACTTTGAAACTGCACTGCACTAAGAGCCAGCCAACAGCGTCGCCCAGTCTAGTGTTCTAAACATCTATATAAAAGTTAAAAACTGCCCTTCTCTAGATCATTCGTGATAGTCCATGTTTAACGTAAGGAAACTCCGCTTGTCACTTACCCCTGCCTGCATGTACCGTCCTGTTTTTAATGATAAGGCTAGACTTGATGTGTTCAGCTTTTACTAGGCGAAAATGTGTGTGTTGTTGAGCATCTCGTGACCCTTATTTCACCAAAATTCAACCGGGTGGTGACCTCGTTTGACCCAGGCAACTTTGACTGGTTGACCCTGCGTGATTCGAGGTACCTGCCTGATGTTCTCGCAAGGTCAATGCAGCCGTCATTGAGACTGGTGACTGAGGCAACGGTCTTGTCATCCTCTTGACTTTCACGAGCATCTTTGTGGTTACGTCATAAGACAACTTGCAGTTCGTGACCTCAGCAACAAAGACATCTTGAGACTCAGACATTAGCATAATCCGCCCTGTATCGTGTGTTGAGCGATTTAGACTGAGATTCGTAGGGACTGTGTGGGACCGCGAGGGTTTCTAGACACGAAGGGGTAGAGTGACACCCTACGACATCACGTGACCACAACGGCTTTTCTTTCACTGTGCATTGCCAAGACAAAGTGTGTTCACACTCGACAGCCGAGGCGACCGTC